CTTCTGAGAGGGAAAAAGGTTAGTATTTTTTCCCCCTTAGAATTGGCCTGATAACTCGCAATTGCTGTTAAGTGTGATCAGCTATTAAGTGTTATTGTTTACAAAATTATAATTAGAATATAATATTGCACTTTTTTGAGTATGCACATTTTGTGCTTCTGTTTACATTTCTTTTATAACTTGAATGTATAGGAAGAAAAAATATACTTCTGTAGAAAGTAGAAAGTAGAAATGTAGAAAGTTTCTACTACTTAGTTATATGCACTTTAGAGGTGTTGTTAAAGCACTGTACAGTGCTTGTCACAGTTGTGTTTGAATTCAACACAAACAATATTGTACATTTTTATTCTGCTGAATAAACCATGACAGGAAACAAACATGCTGGGGTCAATTTGTTCTTTAACATTGGTAAAACTCCGCACATTACTTAAAAATATACTCAGGCACTTAATTACTTGTGTATTTACTTATTATTGAATCGATATCAAAGCTAATAAGTCAATATTGAATCGAATCGAATCAAAGCCTCAAAGAATTGAAATCGAATCGAATTGTGAAATACCTAACAATACCCAGCCCAACCATCTTCTTAGGGACCATCAGAGGCAGCTGATAAATTAAACTTTTGCCGAATCCTGTAGGAAGGACGGCAAACACATCTTGACGATCGACAAATGCCTTGATTGCAGTTCTCTGTTTGTCTTTTAAAATGAATGCACTGTCGATTACTTGTACAACAGCGGATAGCGAAATCTATACATCTAAATTTTCCAGCTGCAGTCATCTCTGAGGGAAACCAGTTCAACCCAAGCTCCTCTTTGATAAAGTGATGATTAAGTAACTGCAGATCATCTGTCCATCATCGTATAAAGCCCGCCCATGGCAATTTGATTAGCCCAACGATTTCTGAACCAATCATAATTACTCCTCAATGGACTGAGTCCAGACCGAACTTCCCAAACAAAAAATGTTAGGCTTTTTTCTAGGCTAGGACGACACTAAAAACAGGTGTAAAAAGGGTCTAAAATGGCCCACTTTCAACCACCTCAAGTTTGGTTTGAATATGAAAAACGTAACAAGCACAATGTTCTGTCACCATTCCTGATTTCTAACACACACTCACTGTGTTCGGCGTGGTCTTGCGGCTATCAGAGAAGAAATGTAAGCTTCTGCTCTCTGTATGTTTTTTTTCTGTTTTCTCCGGTCGTGTTCTTTGTCCATAATCGAAAGGTTTGAAAAAGCCCAAACTTTTACCCACCCATAGCCCCTCCCCTCAATGAAATCAGTTAAATACCAGGTATAAACGGGAATGTGTCTCCATTGTCTACTTGTGATCTGAAAGAATACCAAGTGTGAACGGGGCCTGTGTGACCCCATAAAATGCAAGTGGATTAGTAACACAAAAGGTGACGCTTCAAAAACCAAACAATTCGATCACAACGGTTATCCATACGTCCCGACTGGATGAATCAACATCTTCTGGAGAGAGATAATAGGTGTGTTCGAAAAATACTGTGGTGGAAAATTTTAAACTGAATATTAAGCCAACCATGTTTTAACATTTGACCTCATTTAACCAGCTGAAAATCTGAGACAATGTACTAAGACATTCTGTACTTCAGATGAATGTATGTGTGTCAAACACCTGACTGTATAAATAACAAATATGGGAAATGGAACTAGACAGATGACTAAGTTAAAAACATTAAAACAAAGTCTCCTCTACCCAGTAACAAAACAGTCTACCTATGAAGAACCAATGAAATTAATGTCATTATGGCATACCTCCATATTGTATAAAAACTGACTGTTGTATCAGTGTTTTCGGGGGGATTCTCAATGGAATTTGTCTGAGATCCACCGGCCTTGTTTTTACTAGGGAAGTTCTCTGAGTATTGCTTGAGAACTCTCCTGGCCGTAATTAAAAGCATTGAAAGGACATTTGCTCGAGTCTGTCTGTTATTTAAGCTGCACAGCCAGAAATAAGTTAGTTAGAATAATTAGCAACTGGCGGACGTCGACTGTAGATGCGCTAGGGTTATAGGATTAGAACCCGGCGGACGTCGACTGTAGATGCGCTAGGGTTATAGGATTAGTACCCGGCGGACGTCGACTGGAGATGCGCTAGGGTTATAGGATTAGAACCCGGCGGATGTCGACTGTAGATGCGCTAGGGTTATAGGATTAGAACCCGGCGGATGTCGACTGTAGATGCGCTAGGGTTATAGGATTAGAACCCGGCGGATGTCGACTGTAGATGCGCTAGGGTTATAGGATTAGAACCCGGCGGACGTCGACTGGAGATGCGCTAGGGTTATAGGATTAGAACCCGGCGGATGTCGACTGTAGATGCGCTAGGGTTAAAGGATTAGAGCTCGGCGGATGTCGACTGTAGATGCGCTAGGGTTATAGGATTAGAACCCGGCGGATGTCGACTGTAGATGCGCTAGGGTTATAGGATTAGAACCCGGCGGACGTCGACTGTAGATGCGCTAGGGTTATAGGATTAGAACCCGGCGGACGTCGACTGTAGATGCGCTAGGGTTATAGGATTAGAACCCGGCGGATGTCGACTGTAGATGCGCTAGGGTTAAAGGATTAGAGCTCGGCGGATGTCGACTGTAGATGCGCTAGGGTTATAGGATTAGAACCCGGCGGACGTCGACTGTAGATGCGCTAGGGTTATAGGATTAGAACCCGGCGGATGTCGACTGTAGATGCACTAGGGTTATAGGATTAGAGCTCGGCGGATGTCGACTGTAGATGCGCTAGGGTTATAGGATTAGAACCCGGCGGACGTCGACTGGAGATGCGCTAGGATAGATATGGGGTAGGTTTATTGACTCAGCGGACGTCGATGTGTAGATGCGCTGGTAAAAGTATAAGACTTGGCCAACTAGAGTGAGTATTATTGTAGAGTAGTCAGGTTCAGGAAAAAAATCCATTACAATACTTATATATAAATCCAAGTTTAAAATATTTGTCTTTTTCTCACACGTATATCGTTTCTCGTCAGATGTTAAAATCCATTGGGGTCGTATGGATTACAGTCATAATCACTTTGTGTGGTTTTATCACAATGTTATTGTACGTTGTTGTGGACGCTAATAGTTATCCGTATCTTTAGAGTTTTTGTTCTTAATGCGAACAGGTCTGTCTGTTAAAGGGGAAAAACAAGAGCTTGACTATACATTAGTGCCACCAACAAAAAAGTGTAAACGAGTTTAGAAACTAAAAGTAAATAGTGGTGTACAGTGGAAGTACAAGTTGACCAAAAAACCACAACACAATGAAATGAACAGAAATGAAACAATGCTCTCCTAATCTTAGAAGTACTGTATTAAAGGGACAGTTCTCCCCAAAATGTGCTTTTTGCCATAAATTAGGCTCATTCTAATGTTTTTCCAAATCTGTATGACTGACTTGTTTTTCATTACAGTGAAAAAGTCAGTACAGGCCCCAATTATGTTTTGGACCCCATTCAGTTTCACTGTAGTGACAAAAACAGTAGATTTGAAAATAGATTTGTATGTGTTCCGAACAGAGTTAGGACAACACAGATAAATTATACTGTCCAATCTGTGTGTTATGCCACTTTAATTGCTTTGATATTATGGCAGTATCGTGATTTCAAACATTTAAATGAAGGCACATTGAATTTGGTGTCGTCTTGTGAGGTTGTTTAATGCTCATTTCAATACGGAATCTACAAATGTTAATAAACGCTGCAGTTGTCGTTGCCATAAAGAGTGAATAAATACATTAGTGTCAAAGCTGAATCAACAGTTAAACTAAGCGGGTTATCTAATAATAGCAATTAGTTAACAAACACTGAGACTACGCAAAGCCAATCCCCCCCGACTCCACACATTTGTGGGGCCACTGGATCCTGACAAGCTTAGCACTAATGAGACAACACTATTGATGCTGAACACTGACTGCAAGTTCTCTCTTTCCATTGCTAATCTTATGCAAACAAACAGCCACATGGATCCAACCAGGAAATGAAGACCACCCGCGGACACCACCACGTACAAAGGGGCTACAAGACCCTCCGAAATTAGTATACTGAGAATGTGAAATAGACAATTACATTATAAGTATCACTCATTTTCCATATTTAGACCTGAAGGGTTTCCTGGTGTGGTCTCCTCCAATACCATCTGTTTTATTTAGGTTAATTTGATCAAATTTCATTTACAAATGTGGCTCGTTTGGAAACAAGGACAGACAGGGAGTCAGGGACATATTTGTTCTGACGAGAATGTTAAATGAGGACAAAATAAGGAACATGAAACATGATAAATCATAGTGAATAGTGATGACATAATTTCCTGACCGTTAGAACAAGTCATGATACAATACTAGTTGGATACTGACATCACAGTTGATGGAAAGATATTATCTTGTACCGTCAGCGGAAACCATCACCCTGACATAAACCAGCCTAAGATGGTTTGCTAGTTTTATGTGGGTTGTGGTCTTTCAGCCAACTGGCGTTTAGCTGAAAAATGACACAGAACCTTCTAAAAGCAGGCAACAGACCAGTTCGACCAGGCTGGGAGACCATCAAAGCGTCTTAGTCTGGTTTAAGCATTGTCCCCTCAAAATCATCTTCATAGTCAGGTTTGAAATTAAGAAATAATAACTTATAAATACTGGACTAAAATAATGAGTTTATGAAAATTCGTTTTATATCCCTGTAACGTTACATATTATGCAAAGCAAATTTGCTATCGAGAATTCATGTCTGTAAACTGATACAACAAACAAGGATGACACTAAAAGCTGCTTGTGTAGCCTATTTGAAACTGACATACTTATTAACAAAAACAACAATCACACGTTTAAAAAAACGGAACTTTTATTACTAAACTTTGTCTAAAGCATATGTGAACATATCAGGATCAAATGCTATAGAAAATAATTGAAATGGGAAACCGAGTGTTCCGCACGGTTCACGACGGTGATGTTTCATGCTGTAAGTATGCATCACTCACCTGAGACACACAACACGCGGAACACATGCTGACAGCGAGGCAAATTCTGCTTTACACACACTAATCCAGTTCGAATGTTTTGCTCGTGAGATTCTAAATAACGCGACCGTGTTCCGTGTCTTCTGTGCTCTCGCGCTCCCGCGATCAGTCCTGCACGCGCGCCGCGGCTCACAATAGACTGTGTGACGTGTGTGCGAGGCGAGCAAGAGCTGT